AACGTAATAACAACTCCTTTCATCCCCTGGTTCAAATGTTTTTATGCTCAACCCTAATTTTTGTGAAAGCACTTTCAGGCAAAGACAACAGGAAACAGTAAACATGGCAACACCATGAAAATAATTTTCTGATGCACTATTTCTCTCTGTGTTCAAAGAGTGAGCTGCATAGACTGCAGAGAGGAAACTGCTCTATCATTAAGCCCAATGTCAACAAAAACAGCCACCTTCCAGCAAAATGGATATCCCTCTTCATTTCATAAATCTTGTGCCCAAGTAGACTAAAGCCAGGAATTGACGCCATCTCTCACATCAATGGCCTGAAACTGGTGTATCACAGTAGTATGTTCAAAGGGAATCAGGAGTATCCAACAACAAATTCAGCGGCAGGGATACAATTATAACTGACAGCCAGATGTCTGGGCTGCTGCTACAATCCCCATCGAGACTGCAGATGGCCCTGAGACCCCCGCTTCCAAACAGCGAGGCCAAGGGAATGATAGACAGATAAACAGCACCACCACAAACCATCAACACACACTGAACAACTTGCTGGGACTGATCAAGATTTCAGATGTCAAGAGCTTGCCAGCTTCTCCCCTTCCCCCCTTCCCCAAACAAAAAGCTTGTTAGTGGTTGAGGGCCCAGCAGGAAATGTTTTTACACACAGGGCCAAATGCTAATCCTTCATTGAAACCTTTAATATATTTAAATATTTAGATTACGGAGGCCAAAAGGATCCTAATTGAAATTACTTTACGTGTAGAATATAGAGATTTAATATTTTGGTTAAGTCTATATTACATTTATTGGATTTCCTCCTCACAGGAGCACTTTAAAAATTCAAAGAGAAAGGAAATTTGCTTTAATTACCACTTAAACAATAACCAGTATGAAACTTTTTGTTCCTTAAAAATATGTTTGGGGAGTGGGGGTAATGAGTAAATTTCCCTTAGTAGATTATATAACATTTCTCAACCTATATAGGTACATACATTTCTTTATTTTCACAGACTCCATACTGAATTGTCTTGGAAGACCTTGTTATTTGTACAACTAGATTTGACATGCATTTGTCATTCATAAATTGTGACAAATAGCAAGCCATTTAAATCCTAATATGGGTAAAAGATTCTGGGGGAAACCTAGGGGGGGAAATGTCTTATTTCATAAAATGACTTATATTTATAATTAGTTTTATTACAGTAAATATATATAGTAAATGTTTGTAAGAAATAATAGAACTATATATAACGTATTCATTCCTTCAGTGACTATTGGTGGGTTTTCGGTACCTTGAGCTATTTTTCAGTTTCCATAGCATCTCGGGCTAACTAAAAATCACGTCCTTTTCCAGCAAGTTCCTCTTCATGAAGTTTTCAAATAGTGCTTCAAATATGTTTCCCTCCTGTGCCGTTCTTCTCTGAATCGGTGGGGCACACTGCTGCAGCTGTCTGTCCAAACCCATTTGGAGGTCTCAGCTTTCTCAACATAAATGTCAAAAACAGAGGCTTTTCAAAGTAGTTGCTAGGAACTCGGAGGCCCTTTCTGAGCCAGGCTGAGCCTCAGAGACGCCCTTCATGTGGATACACACAACAGTTCTCCCAATAGAGAAACATCTCATGCGCTATCCCGGAAACGACACTTCCAGAAAATATGCTGACCAAGAACAAACAGCAGGAGGGAGAGAAGTGGCCAAAGCACCCATAACATCTTAACAAGCACTAATTAAATGTCTTACTTAAAAATATGGCTTAAGAAAGCCAAATACAATAACTTCTTACAGATGGTTTTAGGAACTAACAAGACCTGTAGGAAATAGCGCGGTCATTAAGATTAGTGTCCCTGAAGTCTCCTGCAGCCATTAGTGACTCACGGTGCTAGGCCCTTCAGGAAGAAATGATGAGAAGCTGTCTGATGTGAAACCAGTCACCCCTCCCCCATTTCTCTCTGAAGGGAATTTTGCATCTGTTTTAGTGAATTACACAGTCACTTATTGAAACAGCCAGTCAATTGCATATAAAAAAAAAAAGCAGTAGCAGCCTTGAAAACTATTTTTTTAAAGTCCTTTTTTTTAATTTATTCATTTATTTTATACAAGAACTGGGGCACAGGCCAAATGCGCAGGAGGGTGAGAGGATTCACCAGAGACAGCGCAGGAAACAGAATGGGCGGACTGAAGAAATACACTGCTGAGGGGAGCAGCGGGCGAGACAGGAGAGGTCTGCTGTGCCATGTGAGATCCTCACCGGTCAGCCGGGGATCGAACTGGCGCTGCAGAGACTGCGGACAGCTTCACAGCGCCACCAGGGGAGGCCCTTGAAAACTGTTTTTCTGATGGGGTACAAAGTGAATTGTGAACACAAAGAAAGCAGAAATTGTGTTTTAGCCTATCAATACTCCCAGTTCCAATGCACAGTGAACATTTGGTGACTGTTCGTCTGTTGAAAAAAAAACTCGTTCAGTGGTTACCCTATGCCAGGCCAGGCAGTCACATAGACAGAGAAGGTAGCCACCTTTTGGAATATAAATACTGTGTGAAGATACTTGTTGAAGAGATGGAGGGAGGGAGCTGGGAGGGATGGAGGGATGGATGGATGATGGATGGATGCACGGGAAAATGATTCTTAAAGAAGTGTTTCCCTCACACAAGTCATACATTTCTGCAGGATGAGACCCTTGGGCTGAGCTCATTCAAAGAAATGTAGAGTCAGATCCTTGGGTGAGATGACACAGCCCAGCAGCAGTAGCAGCACCAACATGGACCTGGAAATAGATGCTGCCATGACAAGGCAAATTCCGATGAAGGCGCCACTGGAGTTAAGTGAGGTTTCCTAGGATCTTAGAACCTGTTAAGATTACTACTAGCATTTTTGGTCAAATCCAAAAAGTACTTCTAGTCATAAGGAAAAATATAACCTTAATATTAAAAAAAAAGTCCAGCTAAAGGACTCGGAGGCCCTCGGGTGTTACATGCCTGACTCTATTATCAAAAAGAGACCTCTTGTTTCCAGTTATTTGTGTAACGCCTCGGGAAGATATGTCTTGCTAACCTCCAGCTTCCTTTCATTCTGCCTGGATCCTTGAGCATCTTGCTGTCTTTTTCTTTTAAATCCTTTGTCATGAATTCAGCTGCTTGAAACTGTTGTGTTCCACTTCTCTACCTGTGTTGCCGACTAGGGCTGGGTGGCAAAGTGAATCCTCAAACCAGTATGACTCGCTGGAGGAGCTGGAGACTGTCCAAACTACTCTTCCCAGAACAGCGGCTGTGGCTTTGGGGGTGAGAGGAGTTTTGAGCTGTGGGCCCTGTCACAGAATGGTAAAAATAGAGAATCAATCTAGCCAGCTCATTGCGAAATGGGGGTTGGGGGAAGGAATTCATCAGGAGGGGCAGGGGGAAACCCTGCCGACCTGAATGTTTTGGGTAAAATAACTAGCTAACTGCATTTTCCTTTTCCAGATGGTTCCTTTGTATTGTAATGAAAAGGAACTTTAGAGCAAGGGGTTGATGGGAATGTATCTGAACCCAACCTATAACACCTGTTCCAGGTCACTACCACCATCACATTTCACCAGAAATAAACCTTACTGGAATCAGTGGGAGAAAATGACTTTGCTTTGAATATGATGTCATGGGTTTCATATATTCACTCAACAAACATTAACTAAGAAACTCTTCAGTGTCCTTTGATGAATAGAGCTATATTAGCAAGCTGGGAAAAGGCTGCCATAGGAACTGTGAAGGGTGACTGATAATGAAATTATAGCATCATGAATATGATTTTTAGCCTTGGGAGAACACAAAAACTAAAGGAAACCAGGTTGTTTTTTTGCTAATGTCATGGGCTGAGATGGTGTTTCTGGAAACACAGCTGATGAAGATGATGATGATGATAAGGCAGGAGGAGGATGCATGGTGAGCACTGCGTGGTGACTGTTCAGTATACTGTGCTCAATTCCTTACATTTATTTAGTTAACTAATTGCTACAACAAACCTCTAAAATAGGACTCATTTGCACTTTATAGATGAAGACACTGAGGCTCAAAGAGGTTAAATAACATCTAATAAACGGTTGGGTGAGGATTCCAAGTTTAGGCTTTTCCCTCCAAAGCCCACAGGCCTCTCATATGACCTAGTTGCTAATGGTTGAGGTCATTTGATATTCAAGTCAAAATCTGAGTGATTTTCAGCCACACATGTGAGAGGGTGATATTTTTGAAATCTGGAAGTCCATTAAGATGGTATATTTTAAATGCAAATATAAGTGGAACATTCATGTCTATGGTCCAATGTTAGTAATATTTTATGGGGTTCACATTTCATTCTTTGTGTTGTCTTTTACATCATACCTCTCTAAGGGGTGCCACAGATGTGATGTTTCAGATCCAAATGATCTTGAGGACGCTAAGCTAAGTGAAATAAGTCAGACAGAGAGATAAATACTCTACAGTCTCAACTTACTTATGTAGTCTAAAAAACCAAACTCATGGGAAAAAAGATCAGACTTGGGGTTGCCAGAGACAGGGATTGGGTTTGGGTAATAGGTGAAGAAGATCAAAGGTACAAACTCCCAATTATAATGTAAATACATTCTGTGGATATAATGTATGACATGATGACTATAATTAACAATGCTGTGTTGTATATTTGAAATTCACTGAGAGAGTAGAACTTAAAAGTTCTCAAAAATGATCATTACATATGGTGACAAACGTAAACTGTGTTTATTGTGGTGACCACTTTGCAATATATACATATGTCAAATCATAGTTATCCACCTTCAATTAAACTAACACAATATTATGTGTCAGTTATATCTCAAGAAAACTGAAAAACAGCCATTCATCACCAACTCCCAACCACAAACCACTCTTGGCCCAACTCTCTCAGCAGAGGACTGCTTTCTGACAGGTTCTTATAGGTGTGTGGAAGCAGAAGTCCTGGAAGTCTTGATTTGTCATCTAAAACATATGAACTCAGGTAAGCCATGAGTCTTTCTAGATCTCAGTTTCCTCATCTGTAAAAATGAAATAATGATAAAGTGCATTTCACCATATCAATATCTAATGAGGTCATATATTTTCAAAAACTTATTGAGTTGTAATTGGCATATAATAAACTGCACATATTTAAAAGATAATGCATTTGAAAGAGCATTTGTGAGCCATAAAATTTTCATCTCTCCTAGCTCATAACATCCCAGCAGTCCCCTAATTTCTTAGGTCATTTTCTGTGTCATTTTTAAGAGCCTTTATAACTGTGCTGCACCTTACCTGACCAGACCAACCTCATCTCTCACCATTTTCTGATCTTGGCACTCTGGAATAATAACACCAGCCTTCTTCATTTATGTTCTTTCAATGGACTTTTCCCTGGACCACAAACAGAGACCTCTAACTCCCAGGACCTTCATTTTCCTGCATTCAACAGTCTTTGAACCCCGAGCATATACTGTCTACCAAGCACTGTCCTTGGTGCTGTAGATGCCTCTGTGAGCAAGAGAGACAAGTTCACAAGTTCAAGGGCCTCCTCCAAGAGCTTCCCACGGTAGACCTGACGTGCTCTTGCCAGAATCATCATTTCCCAGGCAAAGCCTCTCAACTCCAGTTCCCTCTCTTCCATGAAACCTTTTTTAATCACTACCAACTAATTATCCCATCCCTCTTTTTCCTTACAGCACCTGTAAATGTTATATAATTTAGCATGAACTTCATTTTGTAAGATTATTACAGGTGTAAGCACCCTACAAAAAGGTTTATTTTTCTATATCCTCATAACCCAGAGTAGATTGTTATTTACAGGAGAGCATGTCAGAAAGGCAGGGCCTGTGTGAGAAACTTTAGGAGGGAGCAGAGTCCACACAGTCCCTCTGTGTCATCGGCCCTGGGAGCTGGTGGTTGTTTAGGGAGAGCGGCACTACTGAGGACAGACTGATTCACGGCTTGTCCAAAGCCAACCACAAGGGAAGCCAGGCTCAAGGACATCTTCCTGCTGCCAGTGAAAGACGAGTGTTTCCTAGCAACCAGATTCCAGGGGCTTCCTGTCCTAGGGAGTCTGCCCCTGCTCACTGCTTTGTTGCCCTGGGTTTTGCATTTGGGCACTGCTGATCTCTGCATTCATTCTGGATTCTGAAACTTTAGGAGTAAGTCTGACCTGCAGGCTAGCTGAGTAGGTGAGAGCTGGGAACCATTTCATTCATAACATTCTTTCAGCAACTGCTCGTAACTTTCATGAACAGAATGTTTGCTGTTATCTTAAAAAGGGTCAGTACCATTTTTTAAGATTTTATTTATATTAGGGCAGCTGGTTTAAAGATATATATAAAGGAAAAAGCACACATTCTTTCCATTAAATAATCAAAAAGTACTTAGATCTTTGCAAAAAAAAAAAAAGATGCACTATGTTCAGACCTCGTTAGAGCAATAAACCCAGTTAGAGCAAAATCACAGGTGCAGATATAAAGCAAGGTAAATTTGAAGAAAATGACTCAAGGTTTTCCTTAAAAGTATTGATATCTTAAAATTATGTCTGCTGTTATATGGCTTGAACAGCAATTCTCTTAGTATTCTTCCTAGAGATTTCTAACCTCAGTTCTGCAGAGAGTGCTGCATTTTTACTTTAGTGGGGTTAAATCTGGCAGTTGATGTGGCTTTTTCAGTTTTCTCTTTTTCTTATCAAATATTCATTACGACACAATAAGTGATTCATCTATTTTAAAAAATTATTCAGACTTCAGAGCGAAGAGCTCAAAACCAACTCTAAATATAGCCTTACTCTAAACATGAACAAAATTCTGGTTACTTTTCTCTTTCCAAAAGGAAATTAAATGCCCTCAGTTACATGCTAGGAGGACAGGTAAACCCAGAACTCTTCTCCAGGAAAATTACCAATGCCTAATACAGGTTTCCCCTGCTATCTGAACGTAGAACGCTCCTATTTGGTTTGCGTTCACGGTTAGTTACTGGGTGCTCAGCAGCACACAGGCTTAGAGTGTCTGCCGCATCTGTCTCCATGTTGTGAGCTGTGTCGGTGAGAGTCATGGGTACTTTGAGGGCTCCCTCAATTCTTCCATCTGGTTCTTCCCCCATCCCAGCAAGAACAGTCACAAAGTCACAAGGCAAAGATTATTCATTCTCACTACTTTGGTGCTGGTAGAGTCTTACTAAACCTGAGTTGAGCTTTTTCTTCTCAAGGAATGCATTGAGTTTACCAGCTAGTTGCCATTGGCATGTGTCTATTCATCACCCATATTGGAAGTCTATCCTTAGATGGAATTTTACTAAGGACACAGGTTTGAATATTCAAATGAACAGAATTACTCATGGGCTCTTGATGTCCAGTTTTGGGGTCCTGTACATGTTTCTTTTTAAAGGTGCATAATTAATCATGTGGTTAAAGCAGAGCTCTGCTGCATTTCCCTTTACTTCCTTGTCAAATAACCATGTACGTGGATCAAACCTTTTCTTATTGTCTCAGGTTACTCTTTGTTCCCTGAAGTGCTTAGGAGAACCAGGAAGCATCTTTGGAGAATGCAGAATCTTTGAAGTACACAAAGAAGAACTTTTGGTGGAATGGGAAAACTACTCTGCCCCTCCCCTCACTTGTCTGAGTTCTGGTTTCTTCGTCTTGATTTGACATGCAACTCCACTTGTTGTTTTAATACTAGTTCAGATAAATTCAGCTTAATTGCATTTTTTCAAAGTGGAGAAGGCAACCCTGACTTCTGCTCTGGCCCTTCTCAAACCTCTACTTGCAGTGGTGGAATGAGCTAAGGGTACGCCAGGCCTGGGAGGCAGGCCTGCGTCTTCTCCCCACATTCAAGTTGCTGCACAAGACACACATGATTCAAGAATAATAAACCTGAGTGCTAGTATTAATCATTTCCACTTTTTTTTTTAAGATTTATTTATTTATGCATACAAGAACTGGGGTACAGGCCAGAGGGGTTGGGCGGGGAAAGAATTCACCAGAGACATAGTGGGGAATAGAACAGGCAGATCAACAGAAATACACTGCTGAGGGGAGCAGAGGGAGAGTCAGAGGTCTGCTGCGCCATGTGGGTAGCTCCCTGGCTGCGGATTGAACTTGTGCTGCAGAGGCTGCGGACAGCTTCGTAGTGCTGCATCTTAACCCCTGAGCCACCAGGGAAGCCCAATCATTTCCACTTTCATCATGGTTTACACCACAACTGTAAATGACCAAATAGGTTAGCACCCCAAAGAAGCCAGGTTGGAAGGCAGTGTAGATGCATAGCTTTTACATTCCTACAGACCTGGGAAAGTAACTTGACTTCTCTGAGCCTCATATTTCTACCTGTGTGAGGGTCAGTGTGAGCATGAAATGAGACACTGTACCTGAAGAATTTAGCATTGTGCCAGTAACTACTGTTTATTAAATAATAAATTATAACACAGTGCTGCCATGTGTTGGTATATTCGATTATTTTACCACTACAGGGACCCCTTCCCCAAATTTGGACCCTCTCGCTCCTCAAAAACTCTATACTCTATAACCCAGTTGCTAAACATAGAAATCCATAGAAAAAGTAAAAGCTGGGGCCTCCCTGGTGGAGAAAGGGGTTAAGTGTCAGCTCTATGAAGCTATCCACAGCCACTGCAGCACAAGTTAGATCCCTGGCCACGGAGGTGACCCACATGGTGCAGCAGACCTCTCCTATCTTGCCCACTACTCCCCTCAGCAGTGTATTTCAGTGGATCTGTCTCTGGAGAATCCTCTCATCCCCCAGCATCTCTGGCCTGCACCCCTGCTCTTGTATGCATAAACAAATAAATCTTTAAAAAAGAAAAAGAAGAAGTAAGAGCCGATGGACACACTTTTCCTGGAGTGATATCCATTCTCAGGAAGGTCAAGTCCAAGCTTGAGCTGATACTGCCTCAGTTGGTGCGATGTGGGCCACATCTAGACAACCAGGGCAATCAGTGAAAGAACAGTCAACACTCACCCAATACACGTTATGGACAATGACAATGTGCCAGCTGTGTGTAAAGTGAGGGATATGTCAGTCTTTCTGGAGCTGGTTTAAGTGGGATTCAGGTGCCACATTAAGCATTTCACAAACATGAACACTTTCAACGCTTCAACAAAGCTAAGAGGGAGGTCCTGCCATCAATTCCACTTCACAGATGGAAAAAACTAAGCACAGAGAGGTTGAGCAACTTGTCCAAGCAACACAAGCAATACACAGCAGAACTGGATTGGACAAAGCAATGTGGTTCTCTAGGGCTGCCCCTATAACCCCATGCCTTACTGCTTCCTGACAGAATTTTGTCATAGGAAAGGATCATTTTAAGCTTCTGCCTTGGTTCACTGAGCCTGTTTTCGAAGGTGGATCCCCAGACAGTACAGTTGGGGCTTCACTCTTTCTTTTCCATTCAGCACTGAATACTTCAGAAGGGACTGTCAAATCCCCATGCACACGAGTTAGGCCTTCCACTGACAGCTCTGTGAGACACCAGTTCCCATATTTAAGGCAAATCTCTTCCTCTTCTGAATAGGAATTACAAACATACTTAGATTCATTAAAAAAAATCTTCTTTAGGGGAGGTTTACATTCTAAACTTATAAAGCAGATTTCTAACTTGAAGGCTTGTAAGCCTTTGAAGTATTATTTAAATTGTCCCAGACACAAATTACTTATAAAATTGAACTGTCACTTTATAGTAGAAATAATATTAATAAGCTCCTCTTCCTTCCCGTGCTTGGGCATAAATTCTGCTATGTAAAATGTTCTGAAATGTGGCGAGTTAAAAATCTGAATCCTTTGCTCTTTCCAGGCGCATGTCTCTTGTGGCAAAAGGCAAAGAACACATTCTCTTCAATTTCTTCAGTTACATTAGAGAAATAATTTAAAAAAGAGGGGGAAAAGAAAAATTGCCTCATGTTTGTAAATGGAAATCACTGTGGAAAAAGAGAGAAATGGCTGCCCAAGTAGTCTCAGGACGTATTTTTTTTTAAGGGACATATACTCTCCTGCAGACTCCTTTTTCAAACCCAGACCATGGTGCTCACACATAGATGACTGGACAGGGTGCTCAGGATTTCCCGAGGTTAGCCAGTGCCACAAAGAACAAAACCGGTCCCTTGAAGTTAAAATCAAAGCATCCTCGTGAGCAGCCTTGTGTACATCCAAACGGAGAGGACACACGTGTGTGTGATTGAGGCCATCCAGAGAGAGGAGCACGCTTCCCAGGGACTGCTTTAAACAATGACAGACTACAAAATCTGAATGTGACGTGTTGAAACATGAAACACACACGCACGCACGCACGCACACACACACATTTGTGAAAAACATTGCCAAAGTCTCTCAAAGCCAAAGTTTAGAAGAACACGTGCCCTGCGCACAGCAACAATAGTTTCCAAATCACTCTATTTATGATCCCTTTCCTCATCTCTTTGGTCACTTTGGCACACGATTTAGGAAATAAGAAGGAAAAGAAATATGAAGCTGGAGACAGAAAAATTAGTTATAAAACAAAACCACCCACCTTGCTTTCGGGGTCAGGAAATACCATGGCCTCCTTTTACAGCAGGAGTGAACGTAACACCCGTATGTTAAATGATCACATATATCTTTAAAAGAAAAGGAAACGGTTCTTTAAAAAAAAATAAAGTTGCAATACCCCAGCCCTCACAGCAAATCTTATCCAAAAAGTGAAAATAAGAGTAGCTTACTGTGGTTCTTTGGCACACAGCAGAAAGCACGGTCCTCAAGTCACTATTCCCCTATTTTGCGAAAGAGAACAAAAAGCAACAGCAAAAGGTGCTATTTGGCAGGAGGGAAAGGACCTTAATACCCCTCCTGCCCTACTGGGTCCCTCCCAGAGCTTCTCTGGGTGTGGACTGGAGAAGCTGCCGCAATGATCAACACCAATGTCACCATCCGCTGCCTAAATGCCACAAAAGTACACTTAGAAATGAGAGGAAAGTGACTGACATGGATATGCTGAGCCAGCCCCACTGCCACTAGAACAGCCTTAAATGCCCACACAAGGAGAATAAAAAAGAAAAGCACATTTTGCAATAGAATAAATTCTTTTTTTTTTTTTTTATTGAGACCGCGGAGAGTCACATGACCCTGCCTGTAGCCTTTTAGGAAAGCCACCGAAATGGTAAAGAAAGGCGTGGGGGCTGCCTGCTTCCTCCCGCAGCCGGTCAGCCTGTCCTGCCGCGTGTCCGCGTTCTTCTGGGCGCATCTGTGGAGCTATTAAGTGGGATAATCCCTCTGGCCTTTGATACATTTCTGGACATGATTATTTCATTACTCGCAGTATATCAGTAGGATCATAATAAAAAGGACTTCTGACAACCTGCCAAGAGTTTTGTGGCCTTGTAAACACAAAAGTGCTCTAATAAAATTTTATTAAGTGTTAAAAAGTCATAAAAAGTGAAATAACATAAACTACAAAATTTACTGTCCTCAGCAAATGCTGAAAATATCGTCCACAGTAAAATTAAATTAGCATGTAATAGACAGAGGAGCAGTGTGGAGTGGATTTAAAAGAGGATCCAGGGAAAATGACACTGTAACCCAATCTGGGTCACGGGGATTTCATTCGGATTTTTCTCTCCAAATGTGAATAAATGTGCTGATTACAGACAAGAGCTCCGGGGGTTACTGGAGTCTCACACACTGTCAATACTTTGGAAGAAGTAATATATTGCAGATTGTAATGAGCTGGGGCGACCTGGTGAGCGTCGCGGGGCGCCGCGAGGGGCCGGGCGTCCACTAGGGCGCGCTGCGAGACCGGGAATCCTCACCTGGGCGCCCACGCGGCGGCGCCGCCCGCGGCCCCCCTCCAAATTGTATTTACACTTCGTATTTTGTTTTTTCCCTCTCCTGTGACATTTTTCTCCAAATCGGAAAATGCAGTGTAAGTCCAGCTTTGCTGCAGGCGGTCCTCGGTCTCCGCTTCAGACTTGGGGTCCCGGAGCGGGTTGCACTGCTGCCGGCGGTGCTAATCGAAGGGGTCCAGGTGCCCGGCCCCCAGGCCCGGCCGCTCCATCCTGGGCGGCCGCGAAGCGCGCGAGGCCGACCTCCGGCTCCTGCCCGGGCGCGAAGGGTCGCCGGCCCCGCCGAGGGTTCAAGTGCGCGCCCGGGGTTGGAGGCGCGGCGGGCTCCGCTAGCCAGTTCTCTCGGCTCGGCCCCTTCTCCGGACTTCACTGTGCCCCGCTGCCCTGGGGACCCCTCACCCCGGCCCTCCCAGCCAGGCGGGGCCACCGGCTCGGGCGCGCACCCGGGCTCACGGCCAAGGGGTCCCCCAAGCCCAACGTGGAGCCTCCGCCCGGGTAAGAAGTCCGACTTCCTCTCCATGCTGCTCCGAGGGGAATCTGGAATTGGCAGGAAATCGCTGGAAAACTCGGCTTGCGCCTTTGCAGTCAGCTCTCCTTTGCTGAGGAGAAGCAGCTCCCACCAGTCCTGTCTTCCCATCCCCCCAACTCCCCCTAAGCCCTGCGCAGGTTTGTAGAGAGGGTGCGAGGTCTGCAAAGTTTGCGTCTGTTAGGGAGAAAGCTGTCGTGGTTTAAGATACCCAGTGAAAGACGCGTCCTCGTGGCCAGAGCTGTACATCGTGTTTTGCAGTTTCCAGATGCGAACGCTGCCCAGGGAAGAGTCGGTATTAAGAGTATGTTAATTAGAAGTTAGCCAAATACGACATAAATGGGCACTGAACATTTCGTGGCATCATTTCCCCTCGGGGATAGCTGATGTGCATTTAAGAGTTAGTTCCATTTTGCCAGAAAATATTTTGAAGTAAATCCGTTGCTAAAGCCTAGAAAAGGTAAGTTCAAGTTCCTACATAGATTGTCCAGTTTCCTGTAGAGGCTTGCGCAGGTGACTAGGATGAGGATGCCTTCTCTTAATTTTTCAGGTGGAATCAGATGGAAGAGCATTTGATTTTCATGTGGCAAGGTTAATGTTCAAGGGCAAATGGAACACCCATGAGCAGTGGTCACTTGACACTTCTAGCCTAAAATAAAGAGAATTAATTTATACTGAGATTTATATCCCCACATTTTAGATTTTTTTTGCTATGCTATATGAAAAAATTGTTTTTTGAAGATTTTAAAAAGAAAAATACCCTGTTTATTGACATTTGCAAACTAAAGGAATTTGAAATAACTTGGCCTGGAGCACTGGCCTTAAAAAAAGCAAGTAAGTCAATTTAAATGTGGTTTGATATTTACTGTCAAACCTTTGATAGTTAATAAAAACAGAATTTAATGGAATGGAAATAAATAATAAAGTTGCTTCTTAACTCAATGTGCCTGCCTGAAAGGGACAGAGGACCTGTTGCTGGCTCTTGGTTGAGCCATTCTCTGCGGACAGCAGTTATGAATGCAGTTGGTCTCAGTGCCTTTGGAAAAAAGGGCAATTATGTTTGTGGAAGTACAGAAACAAATGTTTTCCTCCATAGGATTTTCTCAATAGTTCTGACTAAAGTTTTGCATTAAAAAATTTCTGATAAACTGAATTTATTGAATTATGAAGTTCAAAAGGAAATTCTGTACTTGTATGGTTTTGTTCCGTGTTCACATTTCTGATAGACTTCATTTGTCCTTCAGAAAAAACTATTTCATAAATATTAAAAACATCACAACTAGTATTTTTAAACTCTCTTGTGATAAATGATTGCCATAGGTAGGGTTATTTTTCATTTTAAGCAGGATTAGTCTAACTATATTCAAGGAGGTTGAAGAGGCTTTCCAAACCTGTCTGTATAAAATTGTAATATTAAAGGTTTTCATAAAGAAACAGGAATTACTACATTTTAAATGATTATAAAAAATGTATCTTAAAGGGATTCTCCCATACCATCCCTCCTTTAAAAAAAAAAAAAAATGTCAGCGACTATTCTATAGGAGTGCTATAATAAAATGATCACCGTGAAAACAGCTCTGTCAAGATGGTGGACACCTCAGAATAGCCTATGAGGAGAAATGAGCATACTCAGACCTTGATATGTTTGAGATAATTAAAAAGGCAAGAAGTTAGTAAAGACATTTTACTACTTAAGACCACATGACTGTTAAAGTGTGCAAGTAATTATATTCTGAATGACTGAAAAGTGTTTTTCTCCAATGATTTTTAAACTTCGATATTTTTATATGCACTACAATCAGTACTTTTAAATATTCCAAATAATTTGTTATATTAGCTAAATGATAAAAGCATGATTGGAATTTGTTGCTTAACCTTCTGCATAAATAGTTGAGAAATATTTAATTTTCTTTTATATATGCCTGAAATAAATTTAAACATGTGCTCTGTTGGAATAAAAAACAATCCAAGTTCGTTTTTTCTCTTCAAAACTTGACTTTGATCCTGATCTCCTAGTTTTTATGCATGCAAACTGCTAATGAGATGAATTGGGATATATCAGTTTCTAGCAAATAGCTAAAATTAAATCAGGAGGGCCTCTTGTAACATTCACATTTGATAACAATTTTAAAGGTATTTAGCATTCAGGAAGGAATGTATTTCTGTATTTCTAAGTTGTACTCTGACTATCTAAGTTATTCTATCCTGCAATTCAAAACTCAATAACCAAATACCAAATTTATATATTTTTAGGGTGACTAAAGTTTAAGGTTATGAGAAGCAAATTGGTTATATAAAAGAAAGCAATCATTTGAAATGGAATTTTAAAATAGAAACAATTTCAGTTTCTGACAGAAATTTTGTGATCAGTTCATCAATTTTCCAGATCAGCCTTAAAGCAAGCAGCATGTAAAAACTACCTTCTCCATAGGAGACGTTCATATTTAAGTTTCCCTAACTGCAAAATCACTCTAAAACAGAGTGTTTTGTGTTAAGGACCATTTCATGTGTTGGTCCCATTGATTACATTGAATGTATAAAAATCTTGTTTAAAGACCAGTAAAAGTGAGGAAATTCCAAGTCAAACTGGCTAAATCCATTCATAATTCATCCCAAGTGCCTGACTTAGGAAACTTGCAAACAGTTTATAGCTCTAGGTACAAAATCAGTTGATTTGCTTATGTGGGGAAGCAGGGTTAACTTTGACCTCTTTGCTCACAGAGGCTTAAGTTGATAAACTTTGGAATGTAGGTTAAGCTTTTTAGTTCCCCAGGAATTTTCCAACCTCAACCTTTTTTTTTGCTTTTTGCTTTTTGAAAATGTAAACACGGAAGGACAACTTTTGTGTTCTGAGATGGGGTTGACTTTCACCCACCCACTTCCTTCCCGTTTACACATTTGTTCAGCAATTCTTCTGAGTGCTGGGAGAACAACAGAATCCCTGCAGGGAGAAAATAGCACACACCATCGCTGTCCCCTTCAGCCATGCCTGTCCCCAGCCCTCCTTTTATTCTGAGCGAATGGGGCATGAATTTAGTACTGACACTCACATGCTTCAAACTGCTACAGCCACAGCCCAAAGTACTTTTGGGGATTGGCAAGACCTCCACCTAGACTTTGCATTCTGAACAGAAAAAAACTACCAGGGGAATTCTGTGTCTCGATGTTGGGGAGCTTCCAGACTGTCTTTAAAATCTGCAGCAGCCTCTCTGCTTGTCTTCCAAAGCAAAACTGCTTTCAGGAAGTTTTGATGTTCAGGAAGACTTTAAAATATTTTTATAGTTTCTTAAACATTCAGAGTAACTGTAATTTTAAACCAGATTAGTTTTAAAGGTGAAAACTGGCCCAGAGAGAGTCTTTACACAGTAACTTCAATCTGATGTGAACTCAAATGACTTTTTAAAAATAAGATCTTGAAAACATGGGTTTCCAGTGGAAAAAGTTACCGTCTA